TTGCCGTTCACAACAAATTTACAAATGTATTTTCTCTTTTGCTTTTTAGTTGAAACGCCAAAAAACAACAACAACTCGTTAACTGTTAAAGTTATATTGGCTTTGTTATTGTGAAATATTTTGAATAATTTGAAAGTTAGACATCGCTTTAGTAGCAATAAAATTAAAGTTTTGCTATTTTTTTTTTTTCTCTCAATAATATGCTTTTAAAAACATATGACTGGGAAAACCGCATTTTTGACATGATTTCAGCATCAAACAATGGGCAGAATGGGTTTTTTATGGAAAATCTAAAATTGTTGATGTTGATAGAAACAATGGAAAATGAGAATAGAAGGGAAGAGGTCGCTGTACTCCTGTGGGAATTCCATTAGAAGCGGTTGGTTGAGAAAAGAAATCACCACTGCCATACGCATTAGCTATACGGAATCGTTATATGTCTTTCAGTTTTGGAAACAAATGAGCGTTTTAGTTAGTCAAAGATATTGGTGAAGAAAAAATGTACACCAAATGTAAAATCTTGGGGGTATTTCCCATATTTTTCACCCGAATTGTCCGCAATCTTAGTACAATAAGTTAGTTCGCAAAAATAGTCCAACAAATGGCTTAGTTAAATTTCGGCATACTCTTCAATTGAAGCTTATTTATAGATAATTTTATTTAAAAATGTTTTCATAATCTCACATAGGTGGAGGGCCGAACTTGATGTTCTTTTACATGTTTTAGGTATAGTTTTGTTTTTGAGGGCGTTAGAATGGTCTTTTTTTAATTCTTAAAAAAACTAATTTTTTTTACGGGCGGCCAGGGCACTATTTTTTGTTCTTTAAATATGTCTATCTCATCACTGGACGTTGAATCTGTAAAAAATATTTACTTTATCCCATTCGAAAATGAGAGTTCTGACTCCTCTACAGTTAAAGAAAGGAAGGGCTGGTCCTCACTCGTCACTGATGTAATCCTTACCTTACTGGGTTACCTTTCTATCTTTTTATCGCTCTCCTCTCGAAACCGTTCAATAGCCGCTTCATTCAATAAGGGATGAACAATATATTCGGAGAGTGGAAAACCGTGCCGTACTAGTAATGTCATTGATAAAACATCATGACCCGAACTGACTGATAGTTTCCAAGACATCTCTACAATTGCAGATAAACTTGGATTTACAGAGAATGACTTGGATGACTTAAAACATTCTTGCTAATTGCCCTGTCTGCAGCACCCAAACCAACTTGAACATCTATCCGTTAAAAAATGTATTCATATTTCAGTAGTACCTTTCTAGGGTGAACACAGGTTTTTTAAGTGAAGCTGCTGCCTAAAAACCATTAACCATTAGAAACCATGAAAGAGGCAAGAAAATAACTCATAGCGAAGTACTTTGGGTGAATATACGCTATTATGTAATTTTTATCCTCCATGTTCGTTTTGATATAACGGACGTAGGCCTGCAAAATTGGAATCAATGCATACGTCGCATTTTGAAAAGTCTTTGAAGTCGAAGTCTGTCATTCGATATCCAATGGGAAAGCTCACTGGCAAAAATTTAGAGAGTTCATCAACCGTCATTTGCCGAGACATCATCAATCCGAAGAAGTGCGCTCAATATTTTAACCGACAAGCCAGGTCAGGATGACAGCAAAAGCGAATCAGTTTTTGTCGCCAGTAGCAAAAACTCTTGAGGTTTTACTCCTCCCTAACATCAGAAAGAGCTATCCAGTTGCTGACCATCAACACGGATTTCGTCCACAACACAGCACCACAACATTGTACGCCATATCCACACATATCAGTCGAGTTTTAAACCAGAACAATCCATGTCACATAACAGTGTTGGTAGCCCTCGACATTTGATACCGTCAACCACGCCACACTGTTTAAGGATGTAGAAAGAACTACCATCCGGCCAAGTTTGAAACGTTGGATAATCAACTATATGTGTGGACCCCAGTCGTACGTGGAATTCCGGAACAAGAAGTTCAAACCATTTGTGTAAGGTTGAACAGCTATCTCGCGGAGCTTGCCACCTTCTTCCAGGCGAGGAATATAAAGATATCCGCCACGAAATCAACGACCACACTCTTTACCACATGGTCTGCGGAGATGAGAACACAGCTGAATGTGCAGGTCGAGGGAAGTATAATACCGACCACGAGCTAACCCAACATCCTAGGGGTCACATTCGACAGCATGTTCAAGTCGTCCGCCCAAGCCACAGCTATCTGCGACAGGATGAAAAGTAGGAACCAGGACAAGGAGACTTTTTGACCTCTTATAACGCAAGAGGGTGGTCTGTATAAGAGCTACGCAGTGGAAGAATATCCAGACCTGCCAGAATGCTGCTCTGAGAATTGCAACAGGCATGACACCAGTAGACTATCTACATGAAGAGACGAAGGTATTCTAGGCAGAGATTTTTGATTAAAAAAAAAAAAAAAACTATTGAGCTGCTGGTAAACAGTTAACTGAACAGAGGGGTCATTGTATATGTCGATGGTAAAGCGGCACTGAAAGCACTGAATTCATGTACCATTAAATCTATTGTAGGAATGCACTGGTTAAGGACCTCTTATAACGCAAGAGGGTGGTCTGTATAAGTGCTACGCAGTGGAAGAATATCCAGACCTGCCAGAATGCTGCTCTGAGAATTGCAACAGGCATGACACCAGTAGACTATCTACATGAAGAGACGAAGGTATTCTAGGCAGAGATTTTTGATTAAAAAAAAAAAAACTATTGAGCTGCTGGTAAACAGTTAACTGAACAGAGGGGTCATTGTATATGTCGATGGTAAAGCGGCACTGAAAGCACTGAATTCATGTACCATTAAATCTATTGTAGGAATGCACTGGTTAAGGAAAGAGAGGGAACTGTAGTATAAGGGCCATTACTTCTCCGTGGGGTGACGACGACACTGAATACTGCAGGCTTGGTCAACACGAGGAAGAAACTGACACGAGAGAGCACTTACTTTGACACTGTCCAACTCTTTCCAGTGTTAGACATAGGCTTATGGGGAAGCAAATTCTGCACGACTTGTATTCATTCTTCGAAACTGATCCAGCAGTTATTCTTCAGTTAGGCAGAAGACTAAAGCGGCACGTTAATCTCTTCGTGGATCTTACATCATTTCTATCTATAATTTTGTTCTTCTCATTCTCGTTCTCTTTTTCTCTGAATTTTAGGATGAACACAATGGATCAACAGGAGATTGACTTGTTGTTATAAGGCAACCGCGCATCCTTTAACATTAGACTTCACTTCATAGCATTCTTGTAAAAAAACTGCAAAATTTTAGTTAGAAAATCTGAAGGCATAGAAGTCCCCAATGCTGTTGAAATCAACTCCATTTAGGATATAACTTTAGGCCATATGTTTCATATGATTTAAGATATTGGGTATACCAAAAGTGTTGTATACAGGGTGAGATAAAAAAACTGCAACAAAGTCAAACGCCATAATTTTTACATTTTTTTTTAATTTTTTGAATGAAAGCGAGAAATGTTGGAAATAGCTTCAAATTTTAGAATAAGTTTAGAATTGTTCGAATTGGTCACCTTTGGCACGTATTATGGTCTTCAAACGGCCAATTAAACCGTCACACGCTGACCAAATGTTGCTCTGCGGTATTTTGGCCCATTCTTGCTTTCCAAAATACTCCAGACACAATAGTCCAACGGATTGGTATCCGGAGATTTTGGTGGCCACTGTGCTCTGGAAATGGAGCGAGGAACCTCATTTTGTAACCATTCTTGGGGGCGCGTACTGAGTGCGTTAGTGCTGAGTCCTGTTGGAAGGCTTTAATACACCCTCCAGAATATTTTCACGATAATATTCGGCATTGATTCTGATGCCACGGTCGATTAATACGAGCGGAGAGCGACCATCGGCTGTTATGGCGGCCCACACCATCACCATGGCCAGGGCTTGTGTTCTGTTTGCCAACCGAAGGTGAACATTTTCAGCTGATCTCTTTGGCAAGTAATCACGATCATTTTGTTTGTTTACAAACTGCTGGAAAACTAATGTTTTCTCATCGGAGACAGAGAAACCCAAATTCAGCAGTTCACCACTTTCGGCCAAGCGAAGCATCTCTTTAGCTCTTTTGAGTCTATTTTCTTTCTGTTGCGGTGTAAGTTCTTGCATTTTTTGGAATTTCAATGGCTTTACCCCGAGCTCATTTTTCAACATTTGCCGAATGGAATATAGCGATATGTTCAGCTCTCACGAGCCAATTTTTGGCCACTGCGACGCGGGGTTCTATCAAGACGCTTCTTTACTTTTCGAACCATTTCTGCTGATGTTGTTGTTTGCTTCCGTCCACTTCCTTGACGTCGGGCTACGCTACCAGTATCACGGTAACGAGCGATGGTACGAAACACAAAAGATTTATTAACATTTAAATGCTGGAGTGCTCTAACGATAGACACTTGCGTTTTTCCAGTCAAATGTAAAGAAATCACACTATCACGCTTGAATTCCATCACTAATAACTTTTTTTCTGGGAAATTCTCACCAAAATGCTTTTGTACGCTTGTAAACAATATAATGAGCTGCCACTGGAATAATTTTAACAGCTGTCGGAGGAGTGGCTTTGAAATGACAGCAGCCTGAAGTTGGTTGCAGTTTTCTCATCTCACCCTGTAGACTTCATTTATCTGTCCCCGTCCGAAATTGAGTCCTTCCTCAATGAACGGGGAGCTTTATTATTGTATACACATATATATGGAATTTCGTACAAATATTTATTTCTAATCTTCCAAACATATTTGGTCTGTTTTGCTAAAACTTTTTTGTCTGCGTTTGCGTCGATTGTTAATGTGAATGTAGATCAATCCGGTTAGACAGAGGTTTGTTCTTATCATATCTGTAATTACGAGTACTTCAGTGACAATTTTTTATTTTTGTTTTATCTAATTTTCAATTGTATGCTGGTGTGTAGAGCCCGCGGTTTTGCTATAAAAATACTAATCATGTTTATTTTCTGTAATCTTTTATTTCAGATTGTATTTTTGTGGTGTTCTCTCTACTATTGTACGTTCGTTCGTTTGTTCTTCATTCATTCTTTATTTCATCCATCATAATTAAGAACGGCCACAGACTTGTTAATTTGAAAGTATCCAAGACACAAGGCAAAGAAATGATGTGATGGCTAAAATGGCTTCAGGGGATCTTTCTTTAACAAGTACGAGCAGTCAAGAAGGTAAGTTGTTTGTTTTATATATGTGTGTATGTATGTATGCATATTCCAAGTAGTAGTATTAATGTTATTATAATGAAAGACAAGGTCGTGATTTCTTTGATATCTGATTACAGTCGAAACACCATTATTCAACTTGAACAAAAATAAACTGGAGAACATTTTAATTGTTGCGGTACTATTAAGGGAAATTATGTCATTATTATTGAATTTGTTATAGATTAGAAATCATAATTTTTATTAATTTGTCAAATAGTTTTTTTTGTTTGTTTGAACGTAGAGTAGGCACCTTTTCCGCATAACTCAGATAACACATATGGTTTGTATACGTATGTTACATTTTCCAACCTTTTCAGATAAACTAGATTCACTTTTTTGATCAACGTCATGTACGTAGAATTGTAGATTGTTATAGGGGTAGAGAAGTGTCAGGGAGAAGATTTTTTTCTCACCCCAATAAACTCTCACTCCAGACTGGTGGGTTTCAAGTGCTAGACGTAAATTGGGAACAAATTTATTCTATATAACCCTTTACCTTTTAATATACCGGGTGAGTTGAAAAAATGCAACCAAATTCAGACTGCTTTCATTTCTAAGCCACTCGTCCGACAGTTGTTAAAATTATTCCAATGGCAGCTCATTATATTGTTTACAAGCGTACAAAAGCATTTTGGTGAGAATTTTCCAGAAAAAAAGTTATTCGTGGTGGAATTCAAGCGTGATAGTGTGATTTCTTTATATTTGGCTGAAAAAGCCCAAGTGGCTATGGTTAGAGTACTCCAGCATTTAAATGTGAATCAACCTTTTGTGTCTCGTACCATCGCTCCTCACCGTGATACTGGTAGCGTAGCCCGACGTCAAGGAAGTGGACGGAAGAAAACAGCAACATCAACAGAAATGGTTCGAAAAGTAAAGAAGCGACTTGATCGTAATCCGCGTCGCAGTGGCCGAAAAAATGGCTCGAGAACTGAACATATCGCAATATTCCATTGGGCAAATATTAAAAAATGAGCTCGGGTTAAAGCCATTGAAATTCCAAAAAGTGCAATAACTTACACAGCAACAGAAAGAAAATAGACTCAAAAGAGCTAAAGGGTGGCTTCGCCTGTTCGAAAGTGGTGAACTGCCGAAATTGGTTTTCTCCAATGAGAAAACATTTGTTGTTCAGCAGTTTGTAAACAAACAAAATGATCGTGTTTACTTGCAAAAGAGGTCAGCTGAAAATGTGCACCTTCGGTTGGCCACCAGAACTCATTCAATAAAAATTAAAAAAGAAATGTAAAAGTTATGGCGTTTGATTTTGTTGCATTTTTTATCTCAGCCTGTAATTCCTATTAAACAAATACTCTTGCTTACAACTTCTTTTATACATATTTTCTTTATTTTTTTTTTTTTTTACAGAAGAAGGTCCTGAATATGTTGATTATGATCGGACACTGCGTCCTCCGTCGAATTCTAGTGGCAGTACAACAGCTGGCAACATGAATAACAATAGCGCCAACAACAATGGCTCTGGCAGTGGCAGTGGTAACAATTCCGGATCTGGTAATCCGAAAAAATTCGATGCTATCAAAATTCAATATGATTCGGCGTTAATGGAATTGAAAACGTTGCGGCATCAACATGCCGATACAGTGCGACGATGTGATAATTTAGAAAATCAATTAGCCTTCTATCAGGAACAATACAATGCAGCTATGAATCAAATTAAAAGTTCCGAACGTAACAAACTTACGGATGTAGTGGCTGAAAATACCCGACTAAAGCAGCAAAATTCGCTGTTGGAGCGGAAGCTAATGCGTTTGGAAAATGAGAGCAGTCAAAGTCCGTCGGAAAGAAATGCCAATTCCTATTACTGTGATTATAATGAACGGGGTGGAGGCGGAGGTCCGGGTGGTGGCAACGTCGGAGGGGTTGTTAAATGTGATGGCAATTGTCCGGAAACAGAAAAGCTCAGCGAAGAATTAATATTGAGTAAAGAACGCAACAACGATTTGATGAAGGAGAAGGAGAAATACAAGAAAAGTTTCAATGCTGTTCTCATGGACTTGGAAAAGGAAAGGAAGTTCTACAGAGACTCAAGGGATCAGTTCAATATGCAAAGGGAACAATTTCAATTGCAAAGAGAAATACTGGAGAAGGAAAATCAAAAACTGAAAAGCCTATTGGGTAGTGAAACGGATAAAAACTTGTTGATTCAAATGCAAAAGAATCGCATAGAGGAAGAATTGAATCAGCTGCTTTCCGAGAAGGATAACGTATTGCAGGAGCATCAGAAAATGTCGGATGATTTGGCAGCAGCCAACAAAGATATAGAACAATATAAGAAAGATGAAATCATGTACAAGAATGAACTGAAGCTACTGCAACAAAAACGAGACTTGCTCAAGTCCCGTGAGAGTACATGGTCAAAAGAGTTCTCGGATAGTAAAGATGATTTCAAGGAAATCGAGAAATTACGCAAAAGTCTTGAGAAGGCCCATGCCGAAGTGGAGCGGGCAGCCCAAGACACAGAGGAGGCGAAACGTGTACGAGATTGGGCCATATCCCAGCGTGAGAAAATTGTACAGGAGCGTGATTCTGTAAAGACATTATGTGATAATTTGCGCAAAGAAAGAGATAAGGCCATATCCGATTTGCTCTCGGCCATTAGAGACAGTGAGAAAATCAAGAAGCAAAAAGATGAAGCCCAACGTAAAATCGATGTTCTCAAAGAACAGTTGGAGCAAAACCAAAATAATGACTCTTCATCTAGGCGCAGTTTCCGCATGAGCACCTATGAGGCTGAGGACATTTTGGAAATTGATTTAACAAATTATCACGCGGATTGTGACATAGGTTTGATTCTGGATGACAGCAATCAAAGGCAATTGGTTTGTGGTGTCACCAATGTATCGCCGGCGTTTGGGAAATTGAAAATTAACGATGTCATAGTCAAGGTGAATAACATCGACTGTCAAAGTTTAACAAAACGCATGTTGATTGACGAAATACGGGCATCGGCGCCCAGGTGTACTTTATTGGTTTCAAGGACACGACAAAGTAAACGTCACTTCTACACTGTTCACTTGAACCTCCAACAAAACCCTAATCATGGCCTCCACTTGGATACGGGGGTTTTCATATCGAAAATTGAACCAAATTCTGTGGCTGCATTTGAACCTGAGCTGGAGGCGGGTGATCGCATATTGTCGATTAATAACAAATCCATGGAGGGTATTCAATCACTGGAAGATGTCATGGCTATTTTGAATGATGAACGCAATGAATCGATTGCCATATTTGCTTTGAAAAATGTCCAAGATTCAGGTGGCAGTTCGGATTCGCAGAGGCGCATGACAACTTCCGCGGCACAAACCGACTCCATAGATTCTATGCATCGTGTCACGGGCACAAAACATCCATCAAAAATTGCCGAAATGTTAAGCAAATTTAAAGAGAAAATACACATCTCCAAACCTGGCTCCGATGGTGGTGATCATTTTGCCCAGGAACATGACGCCCTGGCCGCCTTGGATTCAGTATTAAGTGAGAACTCGTCGGAGAAAAGTAAAGAAAATCTCTTTAAACGCAACAAATCGAAGAAGAAGGAAAAGGAGGCGGCAGCCAAAAGTATGGGCACTTGGCCTCGCACCAATATACTGCAAGCATCACAAGAAAATCCAACCGGAACTATTGTACATCGCGAGAAGAAACGTGCACCGCTGTCACTGTTCACGGCCGGTCCCATCAATGTGGATAAAGATGACGAGAGAGCGGATTCCGATGAAGCTCCTCCACCCCTACCACCCATGCACAATAAGCCTCAGGCCCATATACGCAATGGTGTTGGATCGAATGTCAAACATAATCCCAATCGGAACTCGAATCCCATACCCAGTTCAGTGCTTTTTCAAAGTCCAAACGGTGCAGGCGGCAATGGTGGCAACGGCGGCAACTATGCCGCTAATAACTATATGAGGCACTCAGTTTATGCCACCCCAACGAGCATGGAATCGGAACCCCTGATAATGGAACAGTCGAAACCATTGCAGAGACCAAATCCTGTAATGGGCAGTGCTGTGATGCCCAATATGAGACCCAAGCAGACTGATAAATATGGCAATCCTAGACTGCAAAATCACAATTATCAGAATCGTTATTCCTTGAATATAACACCGACGGAATTGTATAAAACCACCGGACAACAGGCCCAACAGCAGGTCATTAACAATGGCGGTCAACAGTTATCCCAACATCAACAGATGTCGATGAGCGGTGGCGGTGATTTGATATCCCGAAAGCAGCATTTATTCGATATGTTGCACAACTCTTCCTCCTCATCCTCGAACAATAAACAAATGGCAGCACCACATCATCAAGCGCACTTTGTTCCACTACAACCTCCTCAACCGCCACCACATTCAAGCAATTTCATTAGATCGAATTCATCCAATCAACAGCAACAACAAAACTCTTTGGACATGATTTCATTAAAATCTCAAAACTCCATCGATTCCATACTGTCGACAAAAAGTCCTCCTATCAGAGAATATGCTGAGCTTGCCAACTATCCCAAACGAGGAATACCAATGCCTCAATCTGCACCGGGTTCCGCCACAAAGAATGTCTCCAAATATCCCAGCGATAGTGAGAGTATAGCATCGGGAATTGCTGGTGGTGGGGCTGGTCTTTTTCTCTCCTCCAACAATAATGGTCCCCATTCAAGACATATGCCTTTGTTTCCCTCCTTCACACAATCCACACATTCGGCCATGAGACCAATACGCCACTCTAGTCCTCTAACTTTACCCTCACCACCGCCGTTGCTTCAGGGCAGTGGTACCGGCGTGGGGGGTTCATCTTCGGTCAACTCACACCCACATCATTTGGTAGACTCTTCCATTGGCATACCAACATCATCGGTGGATAAATTTGAAATGGATTACATGCAGCAACAGCAGCAGCAACAACAGCACAATCAACATCAAACCCATCCACATTATCTAAATGATTACCCGCCCAATATGCCCTCTCATGCCGCCGGCTATCATCCCTCACCCGTTGGCGGTATGCCCACATCCTCGTCGGTGGGTCAAGGTGTAATCTATGAAGGTGGCACATTTCCACGCAAAAAAGATCATCAACGCTTGCGTATACCCTCGAATCCAAGTGTAGCTAGTAAAAATAGTGGTGTCAAAAATAGTTCTGGGTCCATTGATCATCACTACAACAGTACATCGGGCCAAGCAACAGGTTCCTCCTTAATGACATCGTCATCAATGTCCCCATATGGCGGTGGTGTCGGCGTAACAAGTGGAGCCATGGTAAGCTCTCATCATCATCACCATCACCATTCGGCGTTGACAAATGTAGCCGCCAATGGCGGTAACAGTGGTCGAGGTTCACCCATGCCTCAGGTTCATGTTGAGGTACTTTCCCATGGCGGCAGCAAACGCAATTCCAATGTGCCGTCGGATTTTTTATGCCCTGGAGATCTTAGAAGAGTCACGATTGATAAGAGCGACAAGTCGCTCGGTATTACAATTCAATGTAATAACAATGGAGGCGGTATTTTTGTATCAACTGTAGCCGACAAAAGTATTGCCACTCGTGCTGGTCTTCAGGTGGGCGATCAACTCTTAGAAGTTTGCGGCATCAATATGCGCTCGGCTACAAATGATATAGCAGCTAATGTATTGCGTCAATGTGGCAATTCCATAACCATGTTGGTGCAATATAATCCAGAAAGTAAGTAGTGCGATTTTTGATTTATGTCAGCAACTGCAGAATTAATGCGATTGCTTATTTTTTTTTTTTAGAATTTCACTCAGCTGAATATGAAGGCACTCACAATTTAGAACCTGAATCTCCGGTTAATCATTCGGGATCACCTACGCCACGTAACTCTCCGCGTCCCCCTTTACGGCCAATGTTGGCATCACTGCCACCCATGCCCATTGTTGCAAGCCAACAGCCAACGAATGTAATGACACAAAGTGCAATAATGCCACAATCCACATCGCTAATATCACAAAAGTCTATTAATGATCAAAGTTTTGCCGATAGTTTGGAAAATCAATCGGATATTAGTTCAAGCCAAGATCTGCCGTCGTCAAATGCGACAACAACCACAACGGCGTCCACAACATCAACACTACCGTATGAAGAGGAGCCACGTTATGTCACCCTGCACATGGATAAATCAAAAAATCCAGGGATAAAACTTTTCGGTGGCAATAAAGTTGGTATATTTGTGCACGACGTACATCCCGGCTCGCCATCGGATCGTGCCGGGGTGCGCAAAGGTGATCAGATACTTGAGTATAATGGTGTGGATCTAAGATGTGTTACGGCCGAGCAGGCGGCAAATGAGATCTCAAAATTAACCGATACTGTTACCATGTTAGTGCAAAATAAACTAAAAAGTAAGTGGTGATTTGATTGAAATGTCGATTTTATATTTAAAAAATTGTAAAATGTTTGATATTTTCTCTTCTGCCTTCTTTCTTAGAACTAAAACAAATCAAAGACAAATCGGGAGATTCGTTTTACATACGAGTGGGGTTTGATCGCACTGGTGACTTGAACGAGGGTGATTTGCGTTTTGTCAAAGATGAAGTTCTCTATGTAGATAATACTGTGTTCAATGGGACCTTTGGTTTGTGGCGTGCTTGGAAACTTGATTCTAAGGGATATCGTAAAGAGTGTGGTATAATACCTTCTCAAATGAAGTAAGTCATTGAAAGGCATGCTCTTTGTATAGACATATATATATGGAATTATTTTTCTTTCAGAGTTGAAGAGGAAATGCGTGCTGCTGAAGTGGTGGAATGTGAAAGCGGCAGCACAGCACGTCGTGGTAGTACATCAACACGCCGATCGTTTTTTCGTCGGAAAAAACATCAACGTAGCTCGTCGAGAGATTCAACGGAAATCGCTAGTTTCAGTAATACACAATTAAGTTACTTTCCTGACTCAGGCATCCTTAATGATGATGGTGGGATTTTAAGTTATCAAAGGGTGGAACGATTAGATTGTAAGTGTGACAGCCGCTCAAAAAATAAGCATAAAATGTAAATTGCATTTTTTTATAATTTAGCGCCCGTTCGACGTCCCGTATTAATAATTGGTCCCCTGTCTGAATGTGTTATGGAACGTTTGACCATTGATTTTTCCAATTTATTTAAATTTTGCGATGTCACTGTTATGGATTGCTCTCAGGATGCTATGGAAGAGGGTTTGCAGCAAAACATCTTTGTTGATTATCGTCGGCGTGGCAATAAATTTGAATGCACCACCATTGAAACCATAAATAATGCTTGTAAAAATGTAGGTTTTCATGGCTTTAGGGATTGGAAATTTGTTTCTATAAATATTTTTTTTGGTTTTTTTTTGCAGGATCGTCGCCACTGTATTCTAGATATTTCTATTTCGGCCGTTGAACGTTTACAGCGTTTACAAATCTATCCAATTGTCTTATTGTTACGCTTCAAATCGGCTAAACAAATACGTGAAATTCGTGACTTTGGTACTGATAAAATTTCCGCTAAGGCGGCTAAAGAAATGTACGAGCGGGCACTCAAACTTGAAAGTGATTATAAACAGTATATATCTGGTAAGTATTATAAAAGTAGTTCCTATAAAATAGCATTTTAGGTTACTCGGAGGCCATTGATCCATTGTGTGGAAAGAAGGGATAAAATGCAAATGATATGCTTTTAGGATAATTATGGGATCTGCGTCTGAGAAGAACGTTAGAGTTTCTGTATAAATAGCCAGACCGTCCGGTGGATGCTCACCACTAGCCCAGACGCCCCTATCAGGTATCGTAACGTCCATGTAATTGAAGTAGAAAGAAAAGGTTATGTTTACAACATATTAAGTATGGATAGCAGAAGAAGTGTAGGTGGAGGCGTTTCTGTTATACCATTCCCTTTAAATATAATCCTATCTCGCTGGAGCAAGTCTAAAGTGGCCCGTAAATGAAATAGAGGGGTATGTCGCAGCTTAATAACTCTTAACCGCGATATGTGCGAGATATTAGCATACTTTTGGAAGTCAATAACCACCGGGAACTAGTGAATGAATTTTTCGAAACATCATCAAAGCTGCAGCCGTCTGCATATATAGGTATATACTCAATGGTAATGTTGAAACAGCTGAATAGGACGGATTTTATTAGCGGACAAAAATCCTCAACCTGTCACTAGCCACCCACAACGCTCTCGAGGCCTGGAAAAGCGGTAGGCGGTCTCGCTCCTGTACCCTGAAAACAGTTTGTCAGAAAAGTCGACGATCATGGCGTCGGGTCCTGTCGTTGATTACACATGTGTAACGCTGCATATCAATCTCAAGGAGCTTGCGGAAATGAGAATTTCGACCACGAACTACTCTAAGATGTGATAGCGAAGAAGGAGACCTTGTTAACCTCTTATAAAACGATAGGTCAGTTTGTGGTTAGCTATGCGGCTCTAGTGTGACTCGTATTTAGACCTGTCAAAAAACCCGCCCTAAGAACTGTCCACTTCCCATCCTCTGCAGCTAAAGAACGTCGGGTACCTAAAAGACCAAGGGTAGTTTTGGCTCAACTACGTTGAGGATCTCAATTTGTATTGGGCGGGATTGATGAAGATGTTCTGAACGTCTGCCTATATATAACACTACTTACACCTTTTTGTCACTGCAGAAGATCTTTGGCTAGTGCACATCATCCTTTATTCTTCAATCTGGATGTTAAAGCAGAACGTGATTAGCAATTTATTTAAATTCCTCACTTATATTACTGCAACAACAACATTAGACCTCCGATTTCCAAAATAAAAATGTGTCTGAATTAATTTTGATTGAGTAAGAATTTCCAATAATTGTTACAAATGCTTGGATAGCCAGCAAATTGAATTGAACTAGTTCAGAATGAAGTAACATTTTATGCGATTCATTCGCACAGAGCCATGAAGGAGTCATTTTGTTCTTCATCCAAGTCATTGAAGTTATTATAAAGCGGCATTTATAAAAATGCAAAATGCATTCGGACATTCTTCCAATATTTTTGAAGATCGAGAATATCAATCCTTCGATTTGGTCGCTAACAAAAGGCATAATTGTGATTTGAAAGTTAAAGGTAGTCAAACCAGAACAGTGAAAAACTATTAAGTTTAGCTAGTTTGCTAAATTTTTGTCAAAAGTAGCCTACTTGTCCGACCTTATGTAGGCCTTGGTTAACATATTGGATGTTTTTACCCCCACTAATTGTACTTTCTAATCATTAATTTTACTTTCTTTCCTTTCAGCTGTTATTCCTGGTGTTAGCATTAAACATATGTGTACGCAAATAAAAGATGCCGTTGATAAGGAACAGGATAAAATTCTGTGGGTTCCAGTTTCTAATAATTGAAAAATGTATATCTCCAACGGATAATACTATGAAATCATATAGTATTAACTGTGCTCACTTTTTCGTGTAACGTCGTCTATTTTTTTTAAAAAATCTGCATTGAGAACAACACGCACATATCAGCAAAATATATTTGTTTATGATTTTTGTAGTTTATTTTCTAAAAGTTATTTATTCAATGTAAGATTTTTAACACACACACACACAAACACATACAACCACGACCAATTTTAAGTATTTTTGTTTCTGCTGTAGGAAATTTTTGTAAACGTTAAAAAAATTTGTGTAATTCGTTTAGGTTTTGTATTTTAATACTTCTTTAAGCTTATATTTACTAATAACTGCAAGTATTCTTTTTTATGTTAATTGATATATTTTTTGTGTTTGTTTTAGTTTATCATTTTTTGTGTTTTTTTTTTTGTTTTATTTAGCTGTTGTTATGAGCGAGGACATACAATTTATGTGTTTGAAAACTTCAATATGACTCTATCTCACACTACTATCTAAGAAATGGAACATATAAAAGATCTTTTGCTGATTATAAATCTAACGTTCAAACACAATTGTTTTAATCAATTCACAAAACCTTATTGCCTCGCTCATAAAAAACACAATTGTTGTGCGTTCTTTAAAAGCTTCTAATAACATTCTTCTTTAAGCTAATATAACGTTTCTTATTTCAAACTAAACGCTTTAATTGAAAAGTATTTTCATTTTATTTATATGCAACTATTTAATTTGTTTTAATTATTTTATTAAATATTAACAAGGAAACAAACACGCAACACTATAATGTCTAAAAAATAGCAGAACATTACACTGTGTTACAATATGTTTAACATTTACATTCTTGAGTACTAAGATTCATGGTTACACATCTCAAATTACAAAACTCTTTTTCGACCCTACGGAAAATTTCGTATAAAAACACAGTTTCATGTTGGTGTTTATATAGTTATTTTAATTTTTTGCTTCCATTTTAAGCTGCAATGTATTCTATTTTAAGTTTATAATTTATTTTTCTTTATTAACTTCTGTTCTCTCGTCTTTTCTTCTGCCTTAAGAAAACATCAAATGCCTTTATGCCAATTACTAATTACACAACTACTTATGTAAATTAAGTGCCTTCTATTTTATATACATAAAAAACAAAATCTAAAGTATATACTACATATTTAACTACTTATATACAAACATGTTTTTTTTTTCTATTTTAAAAACAATTGAAAATTGTTACACGTTTTTGTAGAATGTTTGTCATTAGCTAAAGTAAATTATATTATTAAAAAATATATACATAATTTTTTTATAAATATTTTTCGTTAAATTTCTTTTTAATTTTTATATACATTTAATTAAAGAAAATTATGTCTGGGTTACAGGGTTCTATTTTAAAGATATAAAAATTTATAACGTTTTGCTTTATTATATTGTTGAGGACAAACTACAAAAATAACTACAGTTTTATAACAAAAGAAAAAATAATAACAACAATGATGTAATAATATATTATTTATATATTATCAACTCTATACATATATAATTTATATACATAATATATACAAGAAGAAAATATTTCTTCAAGAAAATAAAGCAATTGTATTTTTTAAATATTTAAAATAACATTTTGTATTTTTATATATTTGGCTTTCCATTGAAGTTGAGTTGGGACATGGGGCACACATTAAATGTTTGGTAATAAAAAATGAAATCGGAATTGATTTGGATATCTTCATTAGCAGATATCTTCATGGCTCCTCCCTATCGGCTGCTTATAGGCTCATATTGTTCAAGGCGTTAATGTGCTGTGTGGAGAGCGTATAACTCATTTTCCTCTTCTGGCTCATAGAGTAGCTTTGCGTTTCTTTCATCTATAAAAGCATCGCTTACGTTCTCTGACACAGGCAGTTACACAAAGTAGGGTGAAATCTCTGGAACCGTTTAAACCCTACCTTTCTGCGCCGTTAACAACGTATGCGGTTGATTATACCCAAAGTTTTAAACTTGGCCGGAGTGCGCTGTGCTCAATGTCCTCAAAAAGTATAGCGTGACCGTTCTGTCGCACTGCCTTTTCGGTTTGAGCCCAATGCTAATATGCATCGAAATGGCGTGTAAAGCTTTTGTTGGGCTATGCAATTTTCCGAATCCGAGTTGATGATCAGCTACTGGGAATCACTCTTTTATGGTTGGGAGGAGGAGTAATGTATGAAGCGCCTTTGCTATTGCCGAGAAGTGAAGTATTGAGAAGTGTGGTAAAATACTCAACTCCTTCATGCACTTGCTTCAACATCACCATAGAGAATCCATCAGGACCAAGCGCTTTGGATGGCTTTGGGCTTTCGGTGATTTGTGCAGACAGATCGTACTCTTAAGGTGTGGGTACATAAGCAGCTTGAAGTATTCGCATGGCATCTTTTGTGACACATCATAAAGAGGCGCCAGAGTCGCACTCGAAACCTGCAGTAGTTTTTCTTATAATTTGACATTAGCATGCCTAGCGATGATGTCAAGCTGCTTATGTACCCAGACCTTTCACCTTTTCGCTCTAGAGGTGCACTATGATCGGTCGAGTAAAATAAAATGAGCACCTGTTCGGATCTATCACTTCTACGACAGTGTCAATTAGACAGACGTACAATCATCCTTTATCCCAGTACTCGAGGGCGACTTAACCGTTGTCCACAATTTAATGGATGCGGTACTGATACTGGTTAAGCTCGTTAACTAATTTATTTACCTCTAGAGTTAGTTCCCCGACTCTGGAATCAGAGTGAAGCTCATCTCGGTCATTTGATAGCCCGGCTGCCTCTGCTGGGAATTTGGTCTTATTTGGGGTATTCGACGAACAGGTTTAGAGCGAACGGCTACAGCTTTGATGATTTCCCGAAAGTACCTATCTGCTACCTAAACATCAAATGGGAGGGAGAGTTCTCTGAATCGGCGATTGCTCTATTCTCTTAATTCCTGCCAATTGGCTTTTCTATTGTTAAGGAAGGTGGGGCTTTCAGTCTAGGAAGTCGAGTGGTCTGTTCATGACAATGGCAATGGGGGGGTAGTGTGAGTGATTGCCAGGTTTGTCATTTGTTATATGATTGATATGTGCGGTGAGCTGTGGCAATCTCCCCTTATTCTCATTCACTGTGCAAAACATGGAGCTATTAATTAGCTCAGCGGGCACCATGCCCCTCTGGTCATTGCCTAGAACGGAATGTCATAATTCGTGATGGGCCTTGAAATCTCCTAGTGAATCCGATTCCATTTAGACTTGGCACATCTCAATATTTCCATTAGCAAAAGATTTGTTATTAAGATGGTAGAGATCGGGCCATTTCTTCTGGTACCTCCCACACAAAGGCTTAACATTTTAAATATCCATGAAAATCATAAAACGTGAAAATAACATCCAATCCCTTTCAAACTTGGTACACCTCAATATTTCCATCAACACAAAATCTATAAAAAATATGGTAGAGGTCGGACCATTTCTTCTAGTACCTCCCCCACATAGGGTTCCAGATTTTGAAAAACAACAACAAATAAAACGTTCAAGTAAAGCGAAATAAGCATCCAATTCTCTTCAAATTTCACACATACAAATATTTTGCTAACACAAGATCTGTTGTGAAGATGATATGTATCTGCGAAAACTTTCTGAAACCTATACTTATATCTGTCATAACTTGCGAAACAAGTCGGAGATTCTTTACAACTTGCCATATCTAAATATTTCCCTTAACCAGAAACCTGAGATGAATATGTAATTTATGATTTTTAAATAAGTTCGGTGAAGAACAACTTTCAGGAGCTATAATCTTTCCTACTGTACCTACATTCGTCTCTAAGAAATTTACCTTGTTTTTTAGGTTCGATATGAGCCTGACTATTGTAAAATATAAAATAAGCCGGATTTCAAACCTCTCTTCTCCACATAAAAGTAAACACAATATTATTTGGGATATAAATGCAAAATTGAATTGTTTTATTTTGTTATAACATTTTAATAAAATTAATAATAATTAACATAGATTAGATACGATTCGAATATTGGAGTGTCGACAAAAACTTATTCCCTGTTTCAGGATTCAGTAAAAATAATATTTTAACGAAAAAAGCGTCGAATGGATTAATTCATTGAAATAGATAAACAAATATTATTCAATAATATTTTCATTCGATATTCGGAAACTGTTGTTGACAAAACACATTATCACTAGCCTTAAAATTTACAAAACATTTTTAAAATTAGATTTTCAAAATGGGTATATATAAATTACATAAAATAAATAGAAAATCTATAGCTACATATTATTTTGGCTTAAACTAAAAAGATCGAAAAATGTAGATAAAATTTAGAAATAATTTACAAAATATTGAGTTTGAAACAATGATATGGCCTTTTAGGTCTAATGCAGAGTTGTGGAGTCAATAACATTGTGTATACGTCAAAAGAAATGCACTGAATTTGAGAGTCGATTTCATTTAACATATGTGCGATGGCATTTCCGGTTGAAATCCACTCGATTTAGTAAGTAGAAGTTCTTTAAACACCGAACGTGTTTTACAACAAGTTGTTTAGATTGCCAAGTTCTCTGAATAAATAATGAATTTTAGTGAATTCATCTCCACAAGCTCTGAATTTCTTTGAATGTTCATATGTATTGTGTGAATATGTATATAAATAAATAATATTTAATAACTTAATTTTTTACAAACTTACGTTAGTACATCCTGGCTCCCTAGATCGAATATAAAGAGGCCAAATCGGGATGTTTAAAAAGTATTATCAAGGTACAAAACGCTCTTTTTCAATTTATTTTGCTTTGCTGTGCAAATCTATAAAAAATAAACTTAAAACCATTGTGTCTCAACTATATTTACAAATAACAAAATGGTTGTTTTTTTAAGGCCCGATCACACATTATGTTAATGTCGTATGTAAAATGACTTTTTCACATTTTTTATTTTCAAATTTTTATAGCATATTTTAAGGAGCTCCCAACAATTTTAAACGTATATACCATACACTATGCATGACTATTAATACACTTTTAGAATAAAAATTCTGGGGAGCATCTAATGTATGCTATAACCAGTAAGGAAAGGTCAAAACTCAGAAGGGGCCGACTTTATGCGTATTTAGTAAAGCTCCCATAACAAAAAAAGTTTATATTGGGAATTTCTGTGGAGTAGATCATACCAACTATGAAACAAACAACATTGGTGAATGATATGACTTCGATTTGGATCGCATATAGGAAGGCGCTGTTACATGGTGCCTATACGAAGGCGTATGCCTGCACGGACAATTTTCTGTCATAGGCTGTAGTATTTATTACGAACTTCAAATTTGAAACAGTTTCGGTAAAAATGTCGCTTAAATCACCAAAATACCGAAAATAGAGAGGTATCATTATATGGGGGCTATACCAAAACGTGGGCCTACACGACCCAAGTCCTGCAGACATAATATACATTTGAGTAAAATTTTATCAAGCTACTTCATTTCCTTCGGAAGGTAGAGTGATTTCCACGACTGTCGGACATCGCTAAATCGACATAGAATTTTATGCTGATCAAGAATACAGAGTGAGTTGAAAAAAACTGCAACCAACTTCAGACTACTGTCATTTCAAAGCCAATTGTCCGACAGCTGTTAAAATTTTTCCAGTGACAGCTCATTATATTCTTTGCAAGCGGTCAAAAGCATTTTGGTGAGAATTTTCCAGATGGATGGAATTCAGGTTCGATAGTGTGGTGTCTTAATATTTGGCTGGAAAACCACAAGTGGCTATCGTTAGATCGAAAACCGCGTCGCAGTGGCCGAAAATTGGCTCGCGAGCTGAATATATCGCAATATTCCATTCGGCAAATATTGAAAATTGAGTTCGGGGTAAAGCCATTGAAATTCCAAAAGTGCAAGAACATACACCGCAACAGAAAGAAAATAGTCTCAAAAGGCTAATGAGTTGCTTCGCTTTGCCGAAAGTGGTGAACTGCCGAATTTGGTTTTCTCTGATGAGAAAGCATTCGTTGCCCAGCAGTTTGTAAACAAACAAAATGACCAGAACTCAAGCGCCGGCCATGGTGATGATGTGGGCCGCTATAACAGCCGATGGAATAAATGCCGAATATTATCCGGAAAATATTCTGGGGGGTGTATTAAAGCCTTGGGCACGCAAACATTTTGGCCGCAGACCTTGGACATTCCAACAGGACTCAGCACGCGCCACCCAAGAATGGTTACAAAATGAGGTTCCTCTCTTCATTTCAAGCACACAATGGCCACCAAAATCTCCGGATACCAATCCGTTGGACTATAGTGTTTTGGAAAGCAAGGTTGACACTAAAAAATACCAAAGTGTCGATCACCTCAAGCAAGCTCTTCACCGAGAATGGCCAAAATACCGCAGAGTAACATTCAGGCAGCGTGTGACGGTTTCATTGGCCGTTTGAAGGCCATAATTCGTGCCAAAGGTAACAAATCTAAAGTTATTTTAAAATTTGAAGCTCTATCCGACATGTTTTGCTTTCATTCAGTAAAATTAAAAAAAATGTAGAAGTTATGGCGTTTGACTTTGTTGCAGTTTTTTATCTCGCCCTGTAGATATAGAAAATACACTAAAAATTAATACACTTGCAGAATAAAAATTCTGGGAAGCGTCTAAATGTATGCTTTAAAAAATGATACACATAATTGTGGAAAAAGTCACTTTACATATGACTTTTAACATGATGTGTAATCTAGACTTTTAAAGTTATAAAAAAAATGGTATAAAAAACTTAAACGAAGGGAAAGAGAAATTAATTGTATATCTGTTTCACTTAAAATATATATATTACAAATAATTCGTAAAATCTTATTCTAATTAGACTCTCCTTATTTAAGCATTGCCTCTCAAGGACAATTAAAAACTAAACAAATTCCATGCAGTTTGGCAATTATAAATGCACTTTAGGTCCCAACATGGCCCACAACAGAAAATGCCAATTAAAAATTTAAAGAGAATCTTACAGATTTTTAACAAATTTTTCTTCGACTAGTTTACAAAAACATTTTATAAAAAACCTTATAGAATAAAAAAAAACAAAACCATAAAATCTATAACAAACAAAAAATATCATTGCCTCAAGAAAGAAGGCTCTGCTTCACCCCCTAACCTTCATAGAAATCAAAATCATCCTTTGGCCGATACCAGTCTTCGGTGGCATGTTCATAGATGGCATTTTTAACCTGTTCCTCAGCAATATCTATGGGATGTCGATAATCCTCACCACCGCTGCCACCACCTACGCCACCCTCGGATCGTGGCGACCTTGAGGTGGCCCGAAAGTCCAATGGGATATTATAACATTTACATATACAACACGATGGAAATCTAAACCAATCGGAAAATATGCCACGACATTCATTGTGCGGATCATAGGCCAGCAGGCGATGCAGACGATATTGCTGTTCACAGCGGCAACCTTCACGACAGTACATCTGCTTGTGTTCGTGGGTACATTTCTCCCAGTGTACATACTGTTCGAACGGATACAAATTGAGTAGAGCCAGTACTTCGCCGCGGGTGTTGTTGGCCCAGAATGGTGCGACCACTTCTTCCTTTACCGGGCAGGCATTGCTGAAAAGAAAAAGATAAAATGAAAATATATTTAGGATGTTATTCGTAATAAAATCAGTATCACAATAATAGCGTGTTTACAACAAACAAACAAAATGTTTTGCTGGAACTGAAAAAAAATATTTTTATTATTTTTTATACCCTCCACCAGAATGGAGGGTATATTAACTTTGTCATTCCGTTTGTAACTCCTCAAAATACTCACGTCAGACCCAACAAAGTATATATATTCTTGATCAGCGTAAAAGTCTAAGTCGATTTAGCGATGTCCATCTGTCTGTCTCTCTGTCTGTCTGTCTGTCTGTTGTAATCACGCTATCTTTCGAAAAAATTGAGATAGATGGCTAAAATTTTGCACACATGTTAATTTTTCCAGTCGGCAGGTTAAGTTCGTAAATGGGCCATGTAGGTCCATGTTTTCATATAGCCCCCATATAAAGGTACCTCCCGATATACGGTATTTTGATGATTTTAGCGACATTATTCACCGGAATTGTTTAAAATTTGGTATTTGAAGTTCAAAATGGATACTACACCCTAAGACAGAAAATTGTCTGTGCATGTCCACGTCTTCATATAGCCCTCATATAACGGTACATCCCTATATTCGGTATTTTGATGATTTTAGCGACATTATTCACCGGAATTGTTTCAAAATTGGTATTTGAAGTTCGTTATGGGAACTACACTCTGTGACAGAAAATTGTCTATGCAGGTCCAGGTCTTCTTATAGGCCACATATATTAGTACCTCCCTATATTCGGTATTTTGACGATTTTAGGTACAATACCCACCGAAATTGTTTGAGAAGTGGTATTTGAAGTTCGTAATAGATGCTACAGCCTGTGACAGAAAATCGTCTTGGTCTTCGCACAGCTCCAATTTAACGACACCTCCTTATATACGATATTTTGATGATTTTAGCTACATTATTCACCGTTTATTTCAAGTTTCGAATTTGAATATGGTAATGACCTATGACAAACAATGCCTATGTATGTCCACGTCGTATAGACCACAAAATAACGGCTATATTCGGTATTTTTAAAATTTTAACAGAATTTTTTAAGGATTTTATTTTTTGAAAATTTCCAAATTCGTTGCAAATGGTGGAGGGTATTAAAAGTTCGGCTCGGCCGAACTTACTGCTTTTTAACTTGTTATTGTTACTTTTTCCAATGTACGCTTGCATAGAACCTATACTAATTAGCTGAAATGTTAACAGCTTAATTTTGTCGTTTTAAACATGTGATGACTGGCTTGGGAATCGAACCCGGGTGTTGAGAGAGCAAAGCGAGCATGCTCTGCACCACAGTGTCGTATATTCCCAAGATAGAATAATACCTCATAGGTGTTCAATTGTTAAAAAAGAATAAGTCTCCACACATGCGATAAAGGCAGACAACCGTAACAATTCTTAGAAGTTGTTTGTGCAATGATCCAACGATCTTTTTTGGCGCAGCAAAAAGCGTCGCAGAAGTGGCTTTTAGGAAAAGGAGTGAGAAGCTCCTTTCCAAATGCTTGGAGGGTGGTTATGTTTCGTTTACAGCTGCGGGATGTTATAAATATGGTTAGACATCAATCTCATCGTTGTTTCGTCAATATGGAGAGCACAGCAGACCAAACACTGACGCTTGTGCTAAAAAATGTAACCTAATATCAGGCGTCCCACAAGTTTCCATGTTGGGTCCTTTTCATTGAACCTGATGTATAACGATTCGCTGAACATGAGTTTACCGCAAGACACAAAACGAATATCGGGTTTGATAATCCATTGATAACCCATTAAGAACTACAAATACCGAATTTTAAACAAATCCAAAAACAAAATAAAAAACAAGTAAGCAAAGGCTATAGTCGTGCGAGGCCGACCATGTGATACCCTACAATATGGTAGAAGTCCCCTTATGTCCAAATCCATTTTCGCTTTTGAAATTATATCATAGAGCACTGCCCAGATATTATCCATACCTTTATGGCTGGGGGCATTTGTCCAATATATACGTATTCCGACGTGCTGTTAGTTACAGCTAAATATAATCCAATGTTCATCCAAAATGCTAGACTTCTCCCCTGTCCTTAACTCTCTTCTCATGGAAAATTCCGTGTCGATTGGTTACAATTGTGTGATCAGGAATATGTTTCTGTTTTCGGTTCATTTGAACCCCTAAATATTTTGCGATCATCTCCAAAAGCAGGAGGCCGCTCTGTATCTCCAAATTTAGACTCATCTATATGATTTGCTTGTCTACGATATTTGGCTATATTCGTCAAGGAAATAAGCATATAAAAGCTAGAAGTTCGCCTTTGGTGTATTTTGGATTTCGACTGTAAGTTATTTTTAGCGTCTTGGTAGAATGGAAATGTTTGTAATTTTTTATACAAAAGTAGCTGTCCATTCTACACGCTGTCCTAAACTCCAACTTTAGCATGATTTCGTGTCACTTGGTTTCTATTTGTGACCTTTATAACGGCTGCAAAATGAGGAACATTTTCAGTTGTTAGTACATTTCGACCCCTAAATATATTGCCGAAATCTTTAAAAACAATAGGCCTATCCCATCTGAGCCTATTCCTACCCTTGTGAAAATTTTTCGTGAGGATCGGACGATAATTGCAATCTGTATATAATAATCCCAACCTGTGTTGTAAGGTGAAAAAAATATTACAAAATATACACTTCAATATTTTAAGTCAAAAAAAAAACTAAAAATCTATATTAACTACATTATTATTATTTATGCAATTTTTTAGATTATATTCTTTTATGCCAAGAGGGCATTTTAAATTGACAAAATTTGTCAAAATCGGTCCAGCCATTCTTGAGATATAAGCATTCTAGCTAACATCGCCTTCCTTTGTATATACACATTGTATATATTTCGCTACATATATCCGATATATTTACTATCAGCATCTACGTAACGGTCAGAATTGACCTCTCCGTCTATTTGTGATTTCGGCGGGATTAAAAATATTCGCGGTTTAATGGAAAATTTGACTTTAATTTAACACAAATGTTATGGTCTATTTCACCCACTAAATATTACCCCGATTACTAACAAATTTGGAAGACTTCTGCTCAGCCCGTGTCGATTGGATTGGATTCCGTGTCGATTGGTCTATAATTGCGACCTGTAGAGCAACTACAAAATAAGAAATTTTTAAATTTTTTTTGTCCATTTCAACCTGAATTTTATGCCATCATCTCCAAAAGCAATAGGCTTCTATTCTGGCCATAGCCCCACCTCCATTCTAAATTTCGTGAAGATCGGGTCATAATTGCGACCTCTAGAGTGATTACAAATTAACATGGACAGACGAACAGATCGACTCAGCTCGGCGAGATAGGAAGATTCATATATACTTTGTGATACCCTACAACACTACAATATGTTGAAAACCCCCCTTATGTCCAAATCTGTTTTGGAATATTTCCATTTTGAAATAATGTCATAGAGACCTACCCAGATGTTACCCTTGTTTACGCACTCCGCCGTGTCGTTATGTATTCGAAATAAATTCAACGACAGTTGTCGTCCATTTTAGAGCTAAAAGTAATCCAATGGTCATCCAAGATGTTCGACTTCTGCCCTGCCCTTAACCATCTCCTCAAGCAAAATTCCGTGTCGATTGGTTTTCAATTGTGACCTATAGAGCGACTGCAAAATTAGGAAAAGTTTTTTTTTTTTTAATTTTGATCCTAATCCAACCCCCATGCAAAATTTCGTGAGGATCGGACGATAATTGCGACCTGCATACAATACCCTCAACATATAGTGTTGTAGGGTGTGAAAATATTACAAAATGTACAAATTAGAAAAATCGCATGCGATAAAAAATATGACAAAAATTTAAAAAAAGTAACAAAAAATATTAAGAAGCATATTTTTAGGCGATGCTCTTAACTTTTTATCATTTTCTGGCAAGACACCATTTCGAATTGATGATAATTGTCTAAATTCCCTGGGATTACAAAAATTCGCGTTTAAAGTTATGGTCTATTTAACCCGCAAAATATTGTCCGATGACCTCCAAATTGGTAGGCTTCTGCCCAGTCTTAAACTCCAACTCCATGAAAAACTCCACTCAAAAAAAAAAATCGATTGGTCTATAATTGTGGCCTGTAGCGCAACGGCAAAATCAGTAATTTTTTCTGTGTTTGGTCCATTTAAACCCCTAAATACTTTGCGATCATCTCCAAAAACAATAGGGTTCTATTCTGACCCTATCCCCACCTACATTTTCAATTTGGGCCATAATCGGACCATAATTGCAACCTGTAGCGTGATTAACATAGCTAGATCGAATCCGCTCGGCGAGATAGGAAGATCCATATATAGTTTCCTATGTCGGGAACCAAAAATGTTACATCATTTTTGACCAAATCAACTTATAATACCCCCAACACATAAAAATACCGAATATCTGGAGGTGGCGTTATAATAACGCTAAACTATATACTATATTTTAATATAAATGCACTTGTATATAAATTATAGCATACTTTAAGGCACTCCCAACAACTTTTAATTGGGAATTTATGTGAAGTAGATCATACCAACTATGAACCAAATAACACTTCTGTATAGTGCATGATATGACTTCGATAAGGATTATATTAAAAAAGTATTTATTGGAGCAATAGATATGCTGACAGGAGTTTCACTTAGTGGTAAAATTGGGTTCCATATGAAAAAATCTATCCAATTTGGGCTGATATTACATATATGGTGAGCAATAACCGTAAAATCGGATGAAGATGTACATCTATATAAAAATCAGAACCGATCTCGATAAAATTTAGCAGAGGGTATCAAGTATCATTGTTGTGGAGTGCATGTTACACATGTGAGGGACTTTAATGCCAAATCGGATGAAACATATATATAGGAGCTATAGCGATATCTGAATCAATTTTAACCAAAATTTTATGCACTTGCTTTTAGGCCGAAATCGCAAAGTCGCCGTCGCAAAAGTCGAAATTCATTTAGGCTGATATTAGCAATTATTTGCACAATAAACCTGAAGTCGGATTAAGGATATATATGGGAGCTATATCCAAATCTGAACAGATAAAATTTGGCAATGGTATTTTCGAGCTCTATAAGATATGTGGTTGCAAATATCATTATTGTGGAATGCATATTACGAATGTGAGGGACTTAAACACCAAATCGGTGAAACATATATATGGGAGCTATAGCTATATCTAATCCGATTTTCTCCAAATTTTATGTACCTTATTCTAGACTGAATTTCGTTAGATGTGCCAAAATTCAGAACTGATTATGGTCATTTTGTGCTGATATTGGCCATTTGGTGCACAAATAACCCGAACTCGGTTGAAGATATATATGGGAGCTATATCTAAATCTGAACCAATCTTGATACAACTTAGCAGAGGTATGGGGCTGGGCTGTATGTGATATTTGGTACCAAATATCATTGTTATTGAATTCATATTACGAATATGAGGGACTTAAACACCAAATCGGATGAACTATGTATATTGGAGCTATAGCTATATCTGAACCGATTTCTCTAAATTTTACGTACTTCCTTCTAGACTGAAATTTGGTTAGATAACCCGAAAAAGGTTGAAGATATATGGGATTTATATCTAAATCTGATCCGATTATCACAAATTTCAATAGGGTTCGTTCTTGGGTCAAACAAATGTTGTTTGGAATCGGATAATAAATGCGACCTGCATTTTGTTCACAAAAATACAGACGGACTGATATGCATAAATCGACTCAGAAAGTGATTCTATGAAGATCCTCAAAAGTAACTATGGGTCTATCTCGCTTCCTTGTCCATGTTAGAAACAAATGCACAAATACATAATATCCTTACCACTATGTGGTGTAGAGTATAAAAACTATTACGGTACTATTACGATCTACTTACACTCCTTTTACATTCAAAACGGGGGCCGGTTGTTCCTGTTTCATGGTATCCTGAAATAGTTGGCCTTCTTTTATGATGGGTTTATTCGAGGCCACCGAGGGAGGAGTTATATTCACTCCGGTTCTGCGTATTTTCTCGCCCAATAGAAGATCTGCATTGGGTTTAATATTTGGCTGGGTGGGTGTTGAAGTTGCCACCGGAGGTGCTGCTGATGGCTGTACATTGTATTTGTTGTTATTGTTGTTTTGGTGATGATGATGTGTTGTTGTATAACGATTAAAGTTTTTGTTGTAATGACTTTTGAAGGGTGAAGTTTTCATCGATGTGAGGGGCGTTGTCAGTGTAGTGGCATTCAAAGAGGCCTTATCCATATGAGTCATGGTGGTGGTGGAAGAGCTGGTCACTTTGGTCGGTGTCGCTTGGGTGGGATTGATTTTCAATTTTAATTTGGCAGAAATTGTAGATTCCGCTTTTTGTCCCTGTTGTTGTTGTTGTGGCCTTTGATGCAATCTCGTGGAGGAGGGTACGAAAGGTTTTCGTTCCTTTTTGATCGGCGATCTTTCGGCAACGATTTCGGGTTTTTGGGTGGTGGTGGTGGCTGCAGTAGTCGTGGTTTCGGTTGTTTTAGTCCTCCTTGTAGTTCCACCGGTTGTTGAAGCTGCACTGGAAGTATTGGGTATACTTGTCGTAGTAGTTACTGCTGCCTCGGTTGTTGTTCTGTCTGTTTTACTAGGTGGAGTGGTGCTTGGAATTTCTGTGGTTAGATTTCTCAAACCCAGCTGAGGCGATGGCACAATTTCAATATTATCCCCCGTTAGTTCAGTCGGTGGAACATCATCACCGGTTTCCTCGAAAACGCTATTCACTTCAATATTTATGACATCTAAATCATCTTCCCGATCCGAGGATGTGGTCATATCATCATCGTCTTCTTCGTCGGGATTAATTTGATTTTCAAATAACTTGGACTTGGATGACTTTGTGGTGTCGTTGATGGATTTTTCGCCATCTTCCTCCTCCTCGTCATTGGTGGTATTTAAATCTGCATTTGTAACATCATTTGGTTTTGGGGTAGTTCCTTTAGTTGTGGTCGTTACACTGGAGGCAGTACTGCTGGCCAGTGTGGTGGTCTCCTCATCATTGGCCATAACCGTTGATTCTACATCTTCGGTGGTGCTCGTTTTCAATGTGGTTGCTGGCGGTTCGGTTGTAGTCGTTTTCCTGGAAGTTGCCGTCGTCGTCGTCGTTGATACCGGCCTAAAGTGAGGATCTCTTAAAATATCATTGACCCGTTCGTTAACTTTAAAATTATCAAAATCTTCACGATGATGCATTAACTTCGAAGCTCGTCGATTATAACCATCACGGGAATACCTTTCGGTGGCCGCTTCAATGTCATCAATATCAATTTCATTATTATAGATTTCTTCGCGTAACACAGATATATGACGGACATCGCCATACATCCGCTTCATGAGTCCCTGATTTTCGTGGACAAAACGCCGCACAGCATGCCAGGGATACGCTGAACCCGGCTGAGTACAATAGGCCTGGGTTAGAAGATCACATGGTATGGCGGCCAACATTTGTGCCCGACCCCGACGTGATTGCTTGGTGTTTGGACTACACGATGATGACGATGAATCATAGCCGAAGGACCAACATTGCGGTATCAGTAGAGCAAACAGGAGAAGGAATATTAAATTCGCCTGAAAGAAGAGAAAACGGAATGTGATTAAATTAAACAAGTCAAAAGTCGAGCGATAATCCTGAAATCGGATTAAGGATATATAGGGTGAGATAAAAAAACTGCATCAAAGTCAAACGCCAAGCGCTTGCTTGAGGTGATCGACACTTTGGTATTTTTTAGTGCCAACCTTCCTTTCCAAAATACTCCAGACACAATAGTCCAACGGAGTGGTATCCTGAAGATATGAGGCGAGGAACCTCATTTGTACCAATACGAATGTCCAAGGTTTGTGACCAAAAGGTTTGCGTGCCCAAGGTTTTAAAACACCCTCCAGAATATTTTTGCGATAATTTTCGGCATTTATTTTGATGCCTAGGTCGATTAATACGAGCGGAGAGTGACCATCGGCTGTTATGGCGGCCCACACTATCATCGAAGCAGTAAAAGTGTAACATGAATTTAATGCCAATAATCTGATTATTTCCCATTTCTCAATGACTAATCCCTTTGGAAAATCACTCTTATTTTCAATTCATATTTTTTTATTTTCCATTTTCAATAACAAAAAAATGAAGTGTGAAAGGGAAAATATGAGTCGAAAAATTATGTAGGCGTTTGTGTCTCAAGTCTTTTGTATAAGAATATACATTGACAGCTTTACAACCTGAGGTAATATAGTTTTAATTTAAAAAATAATTACATTTTCTCCCACTCATAAAGGCAAATCATAATTCCGTATTTCCAAATTCTAAGAAAGTTTCGCTTTCATTTAACAGAAAATTACAGAGCAGAGCACACTGATCCAATTTTATAACAATAATCCAGAAAATTATATAAGATTATGAGTTGGAAGTTTCACAAATAATAACAAGAGTAAAAGTGAATGCATCGAGTAGGTGAGTCAGCCAATAATCCATGCATCCAATCGACCATTACGCGCCAGAGACAACCGGTTTTCCCTGCCCCCACCGAAATGCATTTGTCATGACTCGAGCATTTGAATTTGTTGGGAAATGTTGTAATCGTTAAGGCAACCCATACTTATTTGGGGGCTTTTTGGCTTTACCACAAGTGTTTGAAAGTTATATAGACATACAGCCGTATGACTGTGGTTGTCAGGTGGCTTTTTTTTGGGGATAGGCAGCTACAATTTATGTGGATTAATTAAATTTTTTTATTTTCCTCTGCAATGAAATGTGGTGAAGCTATGGAATATTAAAAATGAAAATAATTGTAATTATATTTGGTATTTGAAAAACAAAATCGTTTTAAATATTTAACCGTAAATGTATCAGCATCTAAGTTGAATTTTCTATAGCAATTTGAGAGAATTTAATGACAGGTCATCAATATTATTAAAAAGGTACATTTTTCGAAAGAGTTTTGAAGGACTAGAAGATTTGCGAAATCTATAATCGTCATTTTTTTTGAATATGCTGGAAGAAATGGCAGAGGTATTTTCATGTATTTGTAAGAAAAAAAAAATATTAAGGATTGGAAGAGTTTTAAATGTAGGGTTTAAAGAAAATTTCGTGAGGCTTAGATACAACTTTAGTCATGTATTTCAAGAATATTTTTTAATACATAGCAGATTGAAAATTTTGAGATAAAGAAAGTAGATTAGAATATTTTTAAAAGACTTAAAAATCTGGAAAATATTAGGCTATTTTTCAAGGACAAGCTATAGCTGCATTTCTTTTATGGGTAAAGGGATAGGGCTGGAGTCATCAAATTTGACATTGAGGTATCTGTTGGTATCTGGAATTGAGATAAAAACTACTTTACATTTTTTTTTTCTAAATTTTATTGAATGAAAGCAAAAAATGTCAGAAATATCATCAAATATTAGAATAAGTTTAGATTTGTTAGAATTAGTCACCTTTGGCACAAATTATGGCCTTCAAACGACCAATGAAACAGTCACACGCTGCTTGAGGTGATCGACACTTTAGTATTTTTTAGTGCCAACCTTGTTTTCCAACGGATTGGTGTCCGGGTTTTGGTGGAAATGAAGCGAGGAACCTCATTTTGTAACCATTCTTGGGTAGCGCGTGGTGAGTGCGATGGTGCTGAGTCCTGTTGGAATGTCCAAATTCTGCTGCAAAAATGTTTGCGTGCCCAAGGCTTTAATAAACACTCCAGAATATTTTCGCGATAATATTCGGCATTTATTCTTATGCCACTGTCGAATAATACGAACGGAGAGAGACCATCAGCCGGCGCTTGAGTTCTCGTGGCCAACCGAAGGTGCACATTTTCAGCTGACCTCTTTGGCAAGTAAACACGATCATTTTGTTGGTTTACAAACTGCTGGACAACGAATGTTTTCTCAACGGAGACGGAGAAAACCAAATACGACAGTTCACCACTTTCGGCCAAGCGAAGCAACTCTTTAGCTCTTTTGAGTCTATTTTCTTTCTGTTGCGGTGTAAGTTCTTGCACCTTTTGGAGCCCCCGAGCTCATTTTTTTAATATTTGCCGAATGGAATATTGCGATATGTTCAGCTCACGAGCCATTTTTCGGCCATTGCGACGCGGGTTTCGATCAAGTCGCTTCTTTACATTTTAAACCATCTCTGCTGATATTGCTGTTTTCTTCCGTCCACTTCCTTGACGTGGCTTAGAAATGACAGCAGTCTGAAGTTGGTTACAGTTTTTTTTATCTCATCACGCTAGAGTCAAAACGAATAAAGATAGGAAGCTAAATTTTGCACCGATTTGTCTTTTGTCTGCAGGCAGATCAAAATGGGCTATATCGTTCCACGATGTCAAAGAGCCCCCATATAATGGTAGCCCCCGATATTTGGTATTTTGTTGATGTTATCCACATTTTTCATTGGCATTGTCTGTAATTCTACACAAGGAGTTCTCTGTGAGTATTTTACTCCCTGAAAGAGAATTTTTTATATAAGTCCACGATGGTGCCCGCCGGTATTCGGTATTTTGATGATTTTAGCCACAATTTGCAATGGTCTAGTCTGAAAATCCACACAAGGACCCATATTACGCTACCCCGAGATATTTGGTATTTCCAGGATTTTCGCTACATTATTCATCGGAAATGCTTCAAATTTCGTATTTGAAGTTCTTTATTGGTACTACCACTTCCTAGTATAGCCCCCATACAACGGTACCTCCCTTTATCCGGCATTTTGATGAAAACGAAATCGTATGTTACTTCAAGCATCATAAAAAAAACGAAGAAAAATTGATACAATAACTTAAGAAACATTTAAGGTATCTTTGGAAACCAAATATCTCCTTAATATATAATTGAAATAGAGATATATTTTCTTTAATACCATATAGTGAAATTTTATGAAGAACAATTTTGTCTTTGTCTTCATTCCTCTAAAATAATGCTTTGTAGGAGTATTTTGCATAAACTCACATAAAGTACGGCTTTAACCCTAAAATGTGTTTTTTAGCTTATATGAATTCCTGACGTTTAGATAAGATTTAAACTGTGATGTTTTCGGAGATCTACAGTAAAATTTTGTGACAGATATGCGAAATTTGGAGACAGTTGGACTCTTACTTCACAATTTATAAGAATTAGGATAATTCTAAATTGTGGGGGAGGTACTACAAGGATACTTCCAATATCGTTTATTTTCGTGCCTCATCTAGTACTGATACAAATATAAGGATCGGATATATAGGAGAGATATACAAGCGAGAAAAAGAAAGGGTTTATATAGAGAAGTAAAGTTAGTAGGGTTGTATGACAGGGCCAGGGAATGATTTGGGCACTTGTAGATGATCTTGGGATCTATTAGACGTATATTAGAGTTTCTATCTCCCACCTGCCAAATAGCCCTCAGTATGCCTACCAAGATTCTTAGATCTGGCCTACTAGGTGATTGAAGGGAGCTAGAAATTACCAGGTAGATGGCCTCGGACCCCTGCAACCGGTTTCCAAATGCCATCTTCTCCCAGCTTCTTCTTATTGGTGGTTTAACAGTTCCATCAATTGATTGATTAATCGACTGGGATTAGCGGACGGACAGACTTCGATAAATCACATATAATTTTATGCTGATCAAGAATATATATACACTTTGTGGTGTCTAAAACGTATACTTCGAGGTGTTAAAAACGTAATGACAAACTTAATATACCCTCCATACTATAGTGGGAATTTACTCAATTTGGACTGATATTAGCCATTATTTGCACAATAAACCCAAAATCGTTTGAAGACCAAATGGGATGAAACATATATATGGGAGCTATAGCTATACCTGAACCGATTTTCAGCAAATTTTATGTACTTGCTTCAAGACTGAATTCGGTCGGATGTGAACCAATCTTGATAACATTTGTGTACAAAATACTTTGTACATACTTTTGAGTGCGATTGAGGCGCCGGGAAAATGTAGCAATAAAAAATAAATGTTCTAAAATTAAATATTTCCCAGCCGCCATAAAATATCACATGTGAAGAATTTGGTGATTTTGTGCGCTGACGCATACGATAATGTGAGAGATAATAAAGGTTATGACCCACACGCACATATATCGATACGCGCAGTAGATGCACAAGACCACTTGAATGATATGTCAAGCAGCCCTGTAATGTTCTCCATTCAGTATTAGAATAGATAAGAACAATTGTGTGGCTGCAACTAGGTTAAGTGAGATTAGTTTCAGTAGTACGTAAGGAACATATTTTAGAAATAAAATTAGAATTGAAATAGCAACCAAACTAATCGGTCGTGTTTCTTTTCTCACAGAAAAAGGGATAGAGTTGACAATCGAAGAGGGAGATTGGACTCTATTCTACTTTACATTGGTCCTTTGAGCCGGATCCAAATCAGAATTGAATCAACAGCCTAACCATTCGGTTGGTTTTCTCTTCTCACTCAATTTGGCAGTGGTATTTCTGGGCTGTATCTTATATCCGGTACCAAATATCATTCTTGTGGTGTGCATATTACGAATATGAGGGATTTCAACACCAAATCGGATGAAACATATATATGGGTGCTAAAGCTATACCTGAATAGATTTTTACCA